CCAAACTTCCACGACGAAAGGAAAAATACAGCAAGACACATAATAGTAAAGCTCCCAAGAATCCAGGACAAGGAAAAAAATAATGAAGCTGACAAGAGGGAAGAAACAGATAACATTCAAAGAAAAACCAATCAGGCTGACATCAGACTTCTCCAAAGAAACACTACGGGCAAGGAGAAAGTGGAGAGCATAGTCAACAGACTTCAAGAAAACAGATGCCAACCAAGAATACTCTACCCCGCAAAGCTCTCCCTCCTCTATGAAGAAAGGATAATGACATTCCCAGACAAACTGAAACTCTGGAATTTCATTATGACTAAATCCCCACTCGAAAAAATACTACAAGGAGTCCTAAAGCCAGAACCTCAGAGGGAGGAATAACAACAAAAGAGGGCCAAAAAAAAAAGTTATTAAAAGAATAAATAAATAAAATCAAAGGAAAGACAAACACAAAGGCAAATACAGATGCTAACATATCAATATTAACTCTAAATATAAATGGACTAAACTCTTCAATAAAAAGACACAGAGTCGCAGGCTGGATTAAGAAACAAAACCCAAACTTTTGCTGTCTCCAGGAAACACATTTAGCTGCAAAAGATAAAAATAGACTCAAAGTTAAAGGATGGAAAACAATCCTACAAGCAAATGGACCAAAAAAGAAAGCAGGAAGAGCTATACTCATATCAGATAAAACAGATTTCAAACTCAAAAAGACAAAAAGAGACCCCCAATGGTCACTACATTATGATCAAGGGGACAATACTTCAAGAAGAAATAACACTCATTAACATATATTCACCAAACAAAGGAGCACCAAAATATATCAGACAACTATTGTCATCTCTGAAAACAGACATCAGAGAAAACACATACATAGTGGGAGACTTCAACACACCACTATCAACAATGGATCAATCAACAAGACAAAAAATAAGTAAAGACACTAAAGCTCTAAATAAGGACCTAGAACGCTTGGGATTAATAGACATCTATAGAACACTAAACCCAAAAAAATCAGAGTATACACTTTTCTCAAGCACATAGGTATCATTCTCCAGGATCGATCACATACTGAGACACAAGACAAACATCAGCAGATACACCAAGATTGAAATCATACCAACCATCTTTTCTGACCATGAAGGCATCAAAGTAGAATTAAACCATAAAAAGAAGGCAAGGAACTCTCCTACCTCATGGAGATTGAAAACCACACTACTGGAAGACGACTGGACTAATGAGGAGATCAAAGAAGAAATTAAAAAATTCTTTGAATTAAATGACAATGAGGACACCAATTTCCTAAATGTATGGGATGCTGCAAAAGGAGTAATAAGAGGAAAATATATAGCAATAGAGGCTCGCATCAAGAAACAAGAACTCAAAGAAACAAGCTAATCTCGAAGCTCAAAGATATAGAAAAAGAACAACAAAAAAAAACCCAAAACCAGTAGAAGAAAAGAAATAATAAAAACCAAAACAGAAATAAATGAAATTGAAACTAAAAAAAACAATCCAAAAGATCAATGAAACCACGAGCTGGTTCTTTGAAAAAATCAATAAATTAGACAACCCCTAGCCAGGCTCACAAAGCAAAAAAGGGAGAAAGCACAAATAAACAGGATCACAAATGAAAGAGGAGAAATCACAACGGACACAGCAGAAATCAAAAGAATAATCAGTAACTACTATGAACAGTTATATGGAAACAAGTTCAACAATCTAGAGGAGATGGACAAATTCCTACAACTCTACAATCACCCAAAGCTAGATAAAGAAGAAATAGAACACCTAAACAGACCAATTACAAGCAGCGAAATTGAAATGGTAATCAAAAACCTCCCCAAAAACAAAAGCCCAGGACCTGATGGATTTACAAATGAATTCTACCAAACATTCAGAGACAAATTAGTGCCTATCCTTCACAAACTCTTCCAAAAAATTGAGAAGGAAGGGACAATACCAAACACATTCTATGAAGCCAACATTACACTAATACCAAAACCTAACAAGGACAACACAAAAAAGGAAAACTCCAGGCCAATCTCCCTAATGAACACTGAAGCAAAAATCCTCAATAAAATTTTAGCTATCAGAATCCAACAATGTATCCATAAGATAATTCACCACGACCAAGTAGGATTCATTCCAGGGACACAAGGATGGTTCAACATCCAAAAATCAATCAACATTATCCAACACATCAACAAAAAGAAATATGAAAACCATATGATAATATCAATAGATGCTGAGAAAGCTTTTGACAAAGTGCAACACCTATTCATGATAAAACCCTTGAAATTCTTGGGATACAAGGAACATACCTCAACATCATGAAGGCCATATATGACAAGCCAACAGCCAGTATCATTCTCAATGGTGAAAAGCTGAAAGCATTTCCATTAAGATCTGGAACAAGACAGGATGTCCACTCTCACCACTGCTTTTCAATATAATACTGGAAGTCCTAGCCAGAGCAATAAGACAAGAGAAAGACATACAAGGAATCCAAATAGGAAAAGAAGAAGTCAAACTATCACTATTTGCAGATGATATGATAATATACATAGAGAACCACAAAAACTCCACAGAAAAACTAATTCAACTCATCAATCAGTTCAGTAAAGTGGCAGGATACAAAATCAACACGCAAAAGTCAGTAGCCTTCCTATACATAAAAAAATAAATCTGAAGAAGAAATCAAAAAAACCATCCCTTTTATTATTGAAACAAAAAAAAATCAAATATTTGGGAATAAATCTAACAAAAGAGGTAAAGGACCTATACAAAGAAAACTATAAAACACTGTTAAAAGAAACAGAAGAAGATACAAAGAAATGGAAAGACATCCCCTGCTCATGGATTGGAAGAATAAACATTATTAAAATGGCCATCCTACCAAAAGCAATATACAGATTCAATGCCATTCCAATAAAAATTTCACTGTCATTCTTCAAAGAAATAGAACAATTATTGATGAAATTCATATGGAATCACCAAAAACTCCGAATAGCCAAAGCTCTCCTGAAAAAAAAAAGAAGGGAATGGAGGCATCACACTCCCAGACTTCAAACTATTCTACAAAGCCATAATCATCAAAACTGCATGGTATTGGAACAAGAATAGACACACAGACCAATGGAATCGAATAGAAAATCCAGAAATAAACTCACAGATTTATGGTCAACTAATCTTTGACAAAGGCGCAAAGACTAGGCATTGGAGCAAAGAAAGTTTGTTCAATAAATGTTGCTGGGAAAACTGGGTCGCTACATACAAAAGAATGAAGCTTGACCACTACCTCACACCATACACAAAAATCAACTCAAAATGGATGAAAGAACTAGACATAAGACCTGAAACCATAAAATACATAGAAGGAAATATAGGCAAAACACTACGTGATATGCATATCAAAGACATCTTTATAGACATATCACCCAAAGCACTGATAGTGAAGGCAAAGATAAACAGCTGGGACTACATCAAATTAAAGAGCTTCTGCACAGCAAAAGAGACAATAATAAAAACAAAGAGAAACCCCACCAACTGGGAGAACATTTTTGCACACAACACTAATGATAAAGGACTGATCACAAAAATCTGCAAAGAGCTGATGAGACTCAACAACAACAAAGAAAATAATCCAGTCAAAAAATGGGCAGAAGAGCTAAAAAGAAACTTCTCTGAAGAGGAAATGCAAATGGCCAACAGGCATATGAAAAAATGTTCAACATCGCTTGTCATCAGGGAAATGCAAATCAAAACTACAATGAGATACCATCTTACACCAGTGAGAATGGCACATATTAAAAAAACTAGCAACAACAAATGTTGGCGAGGGTGTGGAGAAAAAGGAACTCTCCTGCACTGTTGGTGGGCTGCAAACTGGTCCAACCACTATGGAGAGCTGTGTGGAGATTTCTTGACCTACTAAACATAGAGCTTCCGTATGATCCAGCAATTCCACTCCTAGGTATTTACCCAAAGGACACAGAAACATCCATTCCAAAGAGCACCTGCACCCCTGTGTTTATAGAAGCACTGTTTACTATAGCTAAGCTTTGGAAACAACCCAAATGCCCAAAAATAGATGACTGGATCAAGAAGATGTGGTACATATACACCATGGAATATTACTCAGCATTCAAAAATGATAAACACATGCAATTTGTAGCAACATGGATGGCACTGGAAGGGATCATGCTCAGCAAAATAAGCCAGACAGAAAAAGCAAAATACCGGATGGTCTCACTCATACCAGAATCTAGAAAACTTAAATAAGGGACCAGGAAAATGAATAACTATAAGAAAGTGAAAATCAAAATTAACAAAAAACTATGAACCAGAGACCGTCTATGGGGGGTGGGGGGCGGGGAGGGGAGAGGTTGGGGTCAAAATAAGGGGGTTGCAATTGAATGGGGAATATAAAAATAAAATTCATTTAAAAAAATAAAAAAAATAAAAGTTCAGGCCTTTAACCCATTTTAAAAAAAAGGAATTAGATAATTACATAACATTCTATATAGTAGATATTTAGAACTATATTGTTACAATTGGGAGAGCTGAAGACATAAAATATCATGGGTGGTAGCCTCTTAGGGGTAGGGCTGTGGATAATGAAAAAAAGAGAGACTTACTGAAGATTTATTTGTGAGCATGTATTTTTTAACAGTTTCATTAGTATGCTGAATTATATCACCCCAAGTTTCAATGTTCAAATTCTTAATCAGTGAGGCAATGACTCCATAAAAACTTGACAGCAGGTTAAATTTCTATGGTCCTCAGCTCTAAGGTGAGTAGCCACCTCACTCGACCTCTCCAAGTCCAGCACATGTGACCTGGGCTGCAGAGGCAGAGACTTCAGAACTATCTCCAAATATCTGTTTGTTGGGCCTGCAAGAAACACCAGTTTTCTATGGCTGTCATCTTATCTTACAACAAAGCATCAAAAATCTCTTTTTAATAAGGTATGCTTAAGTCCCAGAATCCCTCACCTTTGAATTACCAGAAAAGGCCGCAAGAACTGAAATCCTTCCATAAGACATTCCAACACTGAGCTCGAGCAAAGGGCAGTGGTTAGACTTCAGGTGCACTCACAATCTTAAACACCTCTGGATCCTAATTACAAAGATGATAAAAATGGTTATTAAGGTTCTAGAAATAGATAGAGGCTATCTATTTAAAATGCTAAAACTAACTGCTAAAGAACCAGAGGGTAAATAAAATGCTGTGTGGTAAGCTTTGAGAGATGGGAGTTTGCCATATTCCCCTCTAACCCCAAACCCCATCTTCACCCAGCATCTAAGTGTAGTCTGAGCTTCACTTGACCTTGCTTGGTTTAACACCCCTCCCATCATTTCGTTTTGCATGGTTTGACATGCTGTAGCATTTCTTCATTTTATTTGGTTTAACACAATATAATGCTGGGAGAAAAACAAAATGGAGTCATTGTTAGGATCACTAGGCTAAGTTTTCATATTCTGATTTTGTAGTCATGTTCAATGGTGAGAAAGACCCTACTTAAATAAAATATTATTAAAGAAAAAAGAAAATGAGAGTATGTCTCTGTTATTTCTGCCAGGTGTTCAACTCCAGCACATTTTTAAAATCTGTGTAGTTTTTTCATTTATTTTCTTAAATGAAACACAATTTCATAAGTTGAAATTTTGTAATATAAAATCTATACTGTTTTCAGAATTAACCAAATTGTCAAGGTTATCCAAACTGCTCCAGAGGGAAAATGGAGGTATTCCAATATAAATATCAGCTTGTCACTCAGAGTCTGTCATTCAGAGGATAAAGTTGTAGAAATCAAATGACTTGGTAACATCAGTTCTCTCACTTAACACCATCCTTCTCTGGGTCCAGACAATTTCTCTAGGGATCATTACTGTTCAGAGACTAGTTATAGTCAAAATGATCTTTAATATGTAAAGACTTCAAAAGCATGGCCATGCTATCAGTACTAAACAAAGGAGACTATTTTTCTGATTTATTACATGAGTCTGTACTTTTCAAAGTTTCTAGCACAAACATACATAATTCTAACAATAGGGAAAGAAATAACACGAAAAAAAAAAAAGAGCCAAAAATGTTGGGAATGAGGTGACACGTACTCAATTTAGGCTGAGTCCTGAGGTCAATTTTTGTGACTTGTTTCAGCTTTCAACCCCACGATACCCATCTATCTTCCACACTCACTGCTACACTTTAGCCTCAAAAAGTGACAGACACCTCCCTGGATACCCCACCCACATGTATCCACTTTACTTCTCTTGGGGTCTTATTGACTGGAATATCCTTCCAGGCTTTCTCTGCCCAGTGAATGTGGCTCATCCCAAATTCAGGCTGAAACAGTGCTCCTTTCTCAATTACCATCATCTCAACAAAATTCCTTCTCACTTGTATCAATCAGAGCCCTGAGTTTGTAGCTCTATATACCCTCATTTCAGTTTTCACTGTGCTTCACTTTGTTCTCCCAGCTACAATTGCAACTCCTTTTATGGAGATATTCTGTCTTCTTAATGCTATTCCATTAGCAGTTAGCACAGGACCAGCACAAGAGTAGGTTCTTAATGTCTTGATGAACAAATGTTGAAAGTTCAAGGAAAAATTTTTGTAAGTTTCAAATTGTTCTCAAAAAAAAAAAGAATTTTTTTTTCTTTTTTCTTTTTCTTTTTTTTAATGCTAAGAAAAAGAATGAATTGTTTGCGATACCCTGTCCTGGAAAAAATATTGAACTTTGGAGCGTGGCAGACAAGTTTTGAATCTCAGCTGTTACTCACTAGTTGGATAAATTATTAAACTTTTTCCTAAGCTTTTGTTTCCTCATCTTTATAACAGGAATGACAACATCTTTCATGTAGTTGGTTTAAGGATTAAAGGTGAAGTATATAAAGTGGCTGGCACATAGTAAAGGTTTAATAAATGACAGCTATTATTGAGGTTATTAACTTGATTGATGAAATAGGTAGAAAATACCAAGAGAATCGAGACCTCATAGAAAATACTTACATTTTGAATTATTTCTAAAAACTTATTAAAAGGTATTTTATCTCAAAAAATAAGCAGTTTATTTATAAATACACAGAAAAGCCTGTAAACTCTAGGATGTACAAGCCTGCAAAAATATATGAAATCCAAGAGACATTCAGATTACAGGAATTGTCTAATCAAATTCTAACACTCAACACACTAGTTTAGCTGATTTTTTTTTAGCAAAAAGACCATTATTCCACTGAAACACATTATTTTATAGAAATTTCAGATTGTCTAATTCTACAACTGCATCGTTTGGTATATCTATCAGATTTTTCTCCTTTCTTTAGCTGTGACCAATGCAAAACAAAGTGGACTATTTATTGATAAAGGCGATCTAAAAGGAAGGATGACAACAGACTTAGAATGCAAACAAGTTGATATTCCAGCCTGGAGTATGAGATGCCAACCAGAGACAACATTAGAAACTCTGGTTTGGGAACAAATGAAATCCTCCAAATGCATGCTTCTGAGGGCTCAAAATGCTTGCTGTAACATATTCAGTAATAAACATAGCAGTGCTATGATTGGATTGATAACATTTTTACAGCAAATGCCTCTGAAAACTTATGCATGCCACATTTTTTTCCTCCTACAAAGTAGATACATATAGAAATTCTGCAATAACTCCAAAAAAGTTATTGTCTAGATTAATAATCTTTAAAATTATAAGAGTGGCATTAACACCCCAACTTGGGGTCTTTATACTTGTTATTCCATCCTCTTCAAAATTCCCCCTCCTGGTATTCACATGTTCTGTTAAGGTCTCTGCTCAAATGCTACCTCCACAGGGACACTTGTCCTCACATCCCTTTATTCTTTCTTCTCCTTTCTATTTTTTTCTCAGGTTGTATATGTTATTATTCAACATTTTATTATATATTAGATTATTTTCTCTCTCCCTTTGCTGAAAGTCAAGCACACTTCTAGGTAACACAAGACCTAGAATATAATATGCTCATCAATGCAACTTATAAACATTTGCTCATTCAATAAAAGAGTAAAATGCTTTCTTAGAAGCACTAGATGCCTTTGAAGCTTCTCAAAAGTGGCATATCTTCATCTAGTGGAGGTGAATTTGAATTTTTGAATCAACTAAGTTCATTTAGAGGTCTCTGGTTACTGAGATGAAACTGAATGCATTTACTCATTCATTCAACAAATATGAATGTATTGAGGGCGACTGTGTGTCAGACATTATTCTAGGTGCTAGATTATCCAGTTGGTTCAAAACAAAACAACCACCAAGTGGAATGATGAGCTTTGTTATATGATGGGTTTAAATGATGTCTCACAATAGCAGTGCAATTAAAATGGAAGCAAAACTTTAAAAAATGACTGTACCTGACTTTGATGTGAAGGTTGTAGTGTTTTATTTATAAAAGATGAACTTCACCCTTTTATGATCCATTTCCTAGAAATGGATCTTGTAGAGACAGGAAGGGTCAGAATTGTGGGAGTTCCCCTTTAAATTATCCCAGTGCAATAAGATCACCCGTCCCCAGCTGTTTGTGTGTAGAAAACATGTGACCTACAAATTGAAGCACAGGCATTTTGGAATACAGGGAAAGGTACTTTAGATGTAAGTAAAAATAGTAAAGACATGCAAATAATTTATGCAAACAAATCTATCTTGGGTTATTTTCTCCCTCAAAGTCAAAACAGAAATTTATTGCTTGGTAAGTAATCCTGGCTTCAAATTGGGTCCTTTAAAAGGATATCTCATTCCAATCCTCCTGATATCAGTGGTACTGGAGCTAAATACTCATCTACATCTAATAGGGCCAGAATAGTCTAATCTGTTCACATGTGCTACTGTCTATACCAGGCCAACTCAGCATTTATCTATAAGAAATGGTGAAGCACCTGATTTTGTTTTTGCCTTTCTGTAAAGAACCATCTGCATCAGGCTCTTCATTCTCAAAATAACCTAAACACTTTGTTCCAGATATGAGAAATATTTTCCTCCAAATCTACATTGCGCAGACTTTTAGTCGAAACTATTTTTGGTCTCTCTCCTGCTACCACCCTTATAGGGCAGCAGCTCCTGACGAGCTGGACATCTAAATTAAAATAGTTCAGTCCATGGGCTACAGGATCCATACAGCTGTGGCTTCTGTCAGCTCTTAAATAAAATATTAGCTGTGTGTCTATTGTTTCTGAGCTGTCCAGGGCCCCTTGTTCAGCTGGCCAGGGTTAAAGGGTATGTAGATGAGTTGGCCAGCTGTTTGGTAATTGTCACAGTCGGTTACTTGGTAACCCACAGAATAGCATTCTGTGGAAGTAGAGTCTTTGTTGCTAAGCAATAAATTCAGGTAAAATAACCTTTCCTTGGCTCTTATCAGTCCAGTTTTAAAAAACAGGGTACAGGTTGGGTTGACTCTCCCACAGGCTGCCCATGCTCTTTTGTTTTTTTACCCAGGCAATGAAAGGAACACTGATAACTTGGATAACCCTTGTTTGCTGGAATCTGTCTAGTGCAAATGCAGGCTGGGGAGCAATTGGCTGGGAAGCAGGGTTTATTAGGGGTGTGCTCAGGCTGCCACTGTTGTAATGTACTTTCTAGATCTCAGTTTGGTGATTGGTCGATATATCAGTCAGACAGGCACAAACAAGACCAAAAGCAACGCCAGAGATTTAATGGATAAGAAGGGAAATGTGTGCCTGGTGATGTTCTGTCTACATTAGTATCACCTGCATCATTAGTGGTGATGTTGTAATTTGCTACATCTTAAAATGCCTCTTGCCCTCAATACTTGAATAAATGCTTTTTGAGCAAGTCACTCTGTGATACGGAGACCAGCACTAAGAAGCAACTTGGGGAAATTTTCACTGCAGTCCCATTAGGACAGGTCAGAACCAACTTCTTGCTCTAAGGGGTTGGTAGCAAATCAACATCCTGCATAACTCTGCTTTTTCTATCTCACAATTTTTGAAAATATCGTGAAGAAATGTTCCAGGTGAATATCTGAGGTAATTTCCTCTTGCTATTTTTATTGTCTCACCTGGAAGTATTTGAGTAGAAGAAAGAAAGAATGGTGTTTTGATTCCCTTAAAAGCCTATGCATCCAGCAGCCTCCCTGGGGCCTAGGGGTTAAGTCTCAGCACTATCACTTCAATGACCTGAGTTCAATCCCCGGCCAGGGAGCTAACCCACATGGCGCAGCAGACCTCTCTTGTCTCACTCTCTGCTCCCCTCAGCAGTATATTTCAGTAGTTCTGCCTGTTCTGCTCCCTGCTCTGTCTCTGGTGAAGCCTCTCATCCCCTGTACCTCTGGCCTATACCCCGGTTCTTCTACGAAAAATAAATATTTTTTAAAACAATGAAAAAAATACCTATGCATCCAACTGAGTGAATTTGCCACTTAGCTTGGAAAGTCATTGCTCCTCATGATTCACTCAGAGGCAGTGTTCCGGATTCCACCTACAATTCCCATTTGCTGGGCCTGCCACTGTCACTTCCATGGCTGAACCTCCCTTTCAACAAACTCCTTTCACAAATACACAGACCTGTCCTAACATAACTTTTTTTTAATTTATTTATTTTACACATGCACTGGATACAATCAGATGTGCAGGAGGGTGAGAGAATTCACCAGAGTCAGAGCAGGGAGCAGAATAGACTGACGAAATATACTACTGAGGGGAGCAGCGGGCAGCAGGAGAGGTCTGCGCACTATGTGGGACCCTCCCCGGCCAGCCAGGATCGAACCTGCACTGCAGAGGCTGTGGACAGCTTCACAGCGTGGCGCTCAACCACTGTGCCACCGGGGAGGCCCCCTAACACATAATTTTGTAAATAAACATTTTCTTTCCCAAAAGTTAAAATCATGTTCTAAAGTGTTCACAAAAAAAAAAAAAAAAATCCAATAGCAATCTCCACTAGTAGACTAAAAATTTTTCTTTTTATTTTCCCCATTGTGAACCAAAATAACACCCACAGGATACTAAATTTATGGGCTACAGCACACTTCAGAGCCATAAAGAAGCCGTTTTCTCGGTGATGTCCTCTCTCAGATTCCAGCTGGGACTTAGCGCCTCTGTGAGCTGCCACTGCTTCTCCACTCCTGGTAAGGCCAAGGCTGGCAGGGGGGAAAGCCAGCTCCCAGTTAATTAGTCAGGCAGTCGTGGGCAAGTACTTTGACCTCTCTGCCTCAATTTCCTTATCTTAAAGTGGGTATGAAAATAAGGTTATTTCAAAGCAGAATATTGTGAGAATTACATGAAGTGATGATGCATGTAACCACTTTATCGCATTGTAATGGGTAACTATTATACCGCCTCTCCTTTGTGGCCCATGTTGGCTCAAACTAACACCAACAAAAGCCAGTTGAGCATCTACTATGGGCAAGACTATTGGTTATCACTTAAAATCTTGCTAGAGTTAATGAAGGTAAAACATGGAAACAAAGACCTAATTAATGTAATGCTATGATTGCTAGAAAAACAGGTTTGTGGGTACCCAAAGGAGCAATACTCTAGAAGCTTCCTCACGTGATTGACACTCTGTGTTTGCTTAGCTAGTTCGAGTTCACTGTGCTGGGAGAGGGCACTGGCATTTAGCTTTTTAACTTTTCTTGGCCCCAGTAAATCACCAACCCAGAGTAAATAGCCAATAAACATTTGCTCAAGCTGTTGAATCAGAAAAGGATGAGGAAGAGAAAAGGAAGAGGTCAGGTTCAAAGGGTTTCCTATAGCTTTTTTGTTGTGCTCTGATCTGTTTGCCTTTTAAATATAAAATGCTCAAATTCCCTTATGGACTCCTGCACCATGTTCTAAGTAGAAAAGCAACCTTACCCAAACATGAGTGAAAAATTATTGAGAGAAAATGCAAGTGCGCCGGAGTCCAAAACCAAAACAAGTACACAAACTAAACGAAACTTTGATGTGGATAAAACTCCATGCAGGCCTCCTCCCATGTCTTAATTCACATGGTTTCCCTTAAAATGGCAATTTAAATAAGTAGTTTTTTTATTTTTTTTTTAAGATTTATTTATTTATTTATACAAACGCTGGGTATAGTCAGAAGTGCAGGAGGGTGAGAGAATTCACCAGAGCCAGAGTGGGGAACAGAACAGGCAGACTGACGAAATACACTGCTGAGGGGAGCAGCGGGCGGCAGGAGAGGTCTGTGCGCCATGTGGGACCCTCGCCGGCGGCCGGGGATCGAACCTGCACTGCAGAGGCTGCGGGCAGCTTCGCAGCCCAGCGCTCAACCACTGCGCCACCAGGGGAGGCCCTAAATAAGTAGTTTTTTTAATGCAAAAAGAGATACTTAGTCCTTCAAGAAAAGGAAGTCAATAGTGAAAAGAGAGACAAGAGAGACGTGCTATTCTGTGCACTGATGGGACAAAGACCCAGACAGAATGGCCAAAGGCACAAGATGGACATGGCCCATGCAATTCATTCCGCAGAATTTTCCACTGGGCAGAACCTGTCATAACAAGGACCAAGGGCTACAAGGCAAACTGACAAACAAAAAGGACAAAATTCCCCAGCACAGTTTTTCTGAGGCAAAAGAAGAGAGACCCTGGTCTGATTTCTGGGGTTAAGTGTTTAACTTAATAGACTCTGTTGATGTAAAGAGTAAATTTTTCTGGTAAAAGTAACTCTTTTAACTATAAAGTAGGTAGGTTAAAGAGGCCATTCACTTCTCATTTGCTAATTGTGCATGGTAAATTTGTGAGTTATGACTGTAAGTAGAATCCAAAAGAAAATATCCTGTCACCTGTATAACATGCTAAATTGTTTTTGTTCCTAAGCACCACCTTTTGTTAGATTGATAATCAATCATCACACTAGTTTATAAAATTAAAAATGGCTTTTTGGGGATTTTTTAATGGGCTTTTTTAAGTATTTTCACTTCAACCTTACAATGATTCTCTCATTACCACAATCTTTTGTTGTATATGAGGACAATCCTTATAAAGAATTCATCTCTCTTTTGAGAGAGTCCAAGAACCTCTACTACTTAGAACAAATTGGTCTCTGTGACAAGTCATATATTAAGACCATTGTGTGTTATAACTGGGGTTTTAAAGAGCATTCTCTCTTCAATACTCAAACATCAGTATCCTAAACTAAGATGTACCCATTTTTTTGGCTATGTCCTGCCTCAAGAAATGAAAGACACACCATGTTGACAGCTGAGGCACATTCTATATTTACACGTCATACAAACAAGGCCCACTGGCTCATTTCATCACCACACAAAATAAACCTAGATAAACATCTCTTCTTGTTCTGTACATGTTCTTTGGCCATGAGGCATTGTTTTTCCTCCTTATTCTTTTCCAATGAGTTGTGTTTAACTAAACTTTCTCTTTTTCTTGGAGTTAGCAGTGATCAATTAGATTCCGCCTTGCCCTGTGCAATTACAGAGTGCCCCCTCCTCTGCCTATGGTTCGGGCTTCTGAACCCAGAGCTCATCACAACTGGGAACAATTCCTTTTCATTCTGAGACAGGGCATACTGGGATAACATGCAAATAGACAGTTAAGGGCCTCCTTGAGTAGTTCTTTCAAAGCACACTTCTCATGAGCCAAGTACAAATCGGCTTGATTATTTTTTATCTAGACAAAACTCTGGTGAGCGTTTTTGTTTGTTTGGTTTAGGTTTTTTTTCTTTCCTTTTTCTTTTCCTGTCTCACAAAAACCAAGTGTTCTCCAGCAATGAGGCAACAGAAAAAATCAATACTTGCCATGTACCATGTAACCAATAGAATAAGGGGAATGATTTATGTATGGATGGATGCAGCCTGAATCAGCTGGGGCCTCGCACAGAGTGAGAAAGAGAGAGAGGGAGAGACAGAGAAAGAGAGGAAGAGAGAGAACAGAGAGGAGGTGGGGGGCATGCTGAACTGCTGTGATTATTTCTACAGTGTGGTCAGATTTTTTTCTGCAGCAATAATCCCCTTCTCCAGCACTGCAGGACATAGGGGAAGCCTGCAATTCGTGGAATATGTGATGGCTCAGCTCTCCCTCCTCTCCTCAGTCATGATGCCATGTTCATATTAAGGTACACGAGAGGAGAGAATGATGTATGACCTGCAGTCTTTCAACCTTCCAGTCATCTCCATCCTAAGAAAGCTTAGTGATGGGTCAAAAGGCACTAGTTGACAGAGTGAAATTATCAGCAGGATTAAAAAATTAAAACACCCAGCACTGGAGGAAGACCAGCGGGAAGGGCTTACAGAAGAGAACTACTCTGT